AAATATATCAGCGCGCCGAATAAACCTCCAACCCGTGTTTTCTTTTGATTATTAAAGAGGATCGCAAAGTATCTGTAAAGTTTCCGACTGTAAAGTTTCAGGGATTATTATATAATTGTGGAATAATATAATCGTGTGTCAACGTTTTGCCAAACTAATTGTCTATTACACGCACAATTGCTCATGTATCTCGTGTGCGTTTAATTATTTTGTACATCTATTAGCGATGATACAGAGTTCCTGTTTCGGAAGAATAAAATACTATTTTTCATAATAATCGAATAAAAATTTTTACCTCAGTGGTCGAATTGGTGAGACGCCCGCCTAGAGTGCAGGGAAGTCCAGGCTCAAACCCTGGCTGAGGTGATATTTCTCGCAGTAATTTGTCTCTGATTTAAATTGCCAGTTGTGTGTCGGTTATCAATTTTCCTACGCTGAAAATAAAAACTACTTTAAGTTCTCAAGAAACACAGTACTGTCTCGCCCTATGTTGAACCTTTAATTCTATTATATGTATAGTAGGATCTAAGACAGTAAAAGAAGTCGAACTGCAAGTACAAAATTTACTCCTACTTTCAAACTGATAGCGTCGAAAATTTCTGCTTTCGCCAATTTAGCATTAAAGTAGGTCCTTTTAAGAAGGTGCTAAAGTAAATTTTTAGAATTAAAGATTCAAGGGAGGAGTAAAACATATAACGTCATCAAAGTAGGATATTGCTGGTCTGTAGGTGTAAATTGTCCTTAAAAGTGTCAAAATAGTACCAAAATTTCAACTCGAGATGTCGAAATTTTGGCCCTACGTTGAACCTTTAATTCTGTTATACAATAGGACCTAAGACAGCAAAAGAGGTCGAAGCGCAAGTACAAAATTTACTCCTACTTAAAAACTGATAGTGTTGGAAATTTCTCCTTTCGCCAATTTAGCATTAAAGTAGGTCCTTTCAAGCAGGAGCTGAAGTAAATTTTTTAAATTAAAGATAGCGTACAAGTTTTATGGGAAAACGTACTGGTTTCCCATACAGACTGCAGACCCATTGGATTATCGCTCGTCGCTCGTCGCGTCCAGTCTGAATGCGCCATTAGTCGTGCGGTGCGTTTCGTCGCGGCGCACATTCTCGGCAAGACCGGCGTTTCTACGCGCGTGTTTCCCGTCGCGAGGGAATTCCGCGTACGTACACCGTACATCTCGGATTTTTGTCGACCCTTTGCGGACGACGCGCGATTAATACGCGATCGGCCGCGTCGCTCGTGATCTTTGCGTTGATTTACGAGAACGACGCGCGCGTGCCGCTCCACAATCGGGAGACGCGAATGTATCTTCCGGCTAATTGCGGTATTGGGCAATTGGTCTACCGTTCGACGATGCTGCGGAAGCCAACTCTTCCGTTCTCCCTGCGAAATAGAACAGAAATGTAAGACATACCTACGCAATTCCGATCGGAATCCCTTCCGAAAAGTTCCATAATACATACCCAAGGGAGTCGCGGAAAGTTTACGCGTCGGCGTGAAGTTGGCTGCGAATTGCCAAGTCTCTCGTACTGTTCCCGACAGACGCACGGCGCGACGAGCGCAACGGCGTCGCGGCGCAGCGCAGTGCAGCGCAGGCTCGTTTCTCGAATAAACGGTTTCGCGATTTTTCTCCCGGCGTGCGACGCGACTCGTATTTCGTACGCGAGTGACCGCTTCCGAATAAACGCGTGTCTCGGGGTATCTCGTTCGCAGTGGTGCAGCGTCGCGAAGGCGGGCTGGCTGGCGTCCCGGAGCGTCGCGGGGACGCGCGCACACGATAGGCTCCCGCGCGAGGGAAAGAGGGAAGCCGCGGGAAACGGAGACGGTTACGCGCCGTACGCGAGCCCCGCGGGGCGAGAGAGACGAATACGCGCTCTCGCTCCCGCGGCGGGTGGTGGGAGTGGGAGTCGGAGCGGGGTGGGGAGATCCGAGCGGGAACCGCGCGCGAGGCAGTGCTCGCGCAGCCGCCGGGACGCGCGTATCTCGCGTGTGTGTTCTCGCACCGACTCGGCCAGGGCGGAGGAGTGGGGGAAGCCCGCGAAACCGAGATCAGCGCGCGGCACTGCGCGCTCGAGTCTCGCGGTCGCTTCACGGCGGCGATATCCGTTTGTTCGCGAATCCACGAGTGCGCCCGCGACGTTCGTCAGCCGAGTCGAAGGGAACGATCCGGAGTGATTCGCCTGGAGTGTTCGCGACGCGCGCCACGTTGCAGTGACTGCGCGCCCGACGCGGAGGAGAGCCGGGCCGTCGTCGCTCGAGCCGCGGGAAGAACGATTTCGCTCTTTTCCATGAGAACTCGGGGTGGTCCGCGTGTGCGTTCGATCTCCGCCGAATTGTATCCCGCGTCGTCGCAACGGCGATCTCTCTCGCTCTCTCTAATCGCCGGGCGATCGGGCGACCCGCGTGTCGGCGGCCATAAGCGCGTTGAGAAGCCGCCCGCTCGCCTCTCTCGCGCGGACTCCCGCGGAATTACTTCGGCGCCGCGCGGTGGCGAGTCGCTCTCCCGTCCCGCTTGAGATTCGAATTCCCCGCGCTCGGGCGCGCGCGCGATCCCCCGCGATCGCGAAACCCGCCGCGGAGTGTGCAAAGTGCAAACGGAGTGCGGCCGAGTGGCGATCCAGCGATGCGTCTTCCTGGGATGACGAGGATGCCGCCGCGGAAGGTGGAGGACCAGCCGATCGTCGATCATAAGGCGCCGCGCCGTGGACGTCGCTAAGGAGCTCCACTCTCGCCACGACGTCCGGTCCGCCCAGTCCCGGTAAGTCCAGCACTCGCGTCCGTGCGACGCTACGTTCCGGCTTTGCGAAAGTAAGCCCGCTGTCCTTCTCTCTCTCTCTGCGTGTCCCGATTCAATTCCTGCCGTCAAATTCTATGATTCCGACAACGTTACGCGACAAACGGCATCCTCTCGCCGTCCAATTTCGAATGACGCAGCGATCGTCGCGACCGTTACGCAGCGGGTTACTTTTTTTTTTGTACAAAACTCGATAAACTGTCGCTTACTTCAATATCGCGTGACGCAATTCGATTTTGGTTATGTCACTAGGCAATTTTTTCGTCCCGTAATCACGTTAACGATATTGGAATATCTGTTTTTTTTTCCCCGATGATTCTTGGAGGGGAGGGGAGGGGGTTGGTGTTCAACGCAGCCCGCGTTGCACGGTACAATTATGTGTGCGGAGTTACCGTAATTGCTATAATAGCAAGACCGTAATATTCGGATTTATGCGACGTACGTGTATTTGTCGTGTAAATAGATAGCGTGCAAATAAAATAGATATTCCTAGATATTAATAACGCAAATGGCGAACTCCGATTTATCCTGTTTATTTCTATCGTTGATGAATACTTTTTGTATTAAGCGTATTAAATTCTGTTGAAAATTTATTATTGAAAACACCACCGTCAAAAGAAGAGCGGATTTGCTCGATTAATAATAATAATAATAAAAAGTGGACGCGCATTAGCCGCGCTTCTCGCGGCTCGCGTATTTTTTACACGGGGAAACTCAGTCATTTCTTACAAAGGAGTTAATTAAATTTGTGCTTTGCGGATGTGATTCGCGTAAACTGTCACGGCGCAACGATAATTGCTTGATATACAAAATTAAAACGTTATCGAAATAAATGGTGGGATTAGAATCGAGATAAAAATTATTTTAATCTACCGCGAACATAATCATCCCGCGGAAATGTCGCGAAAACGTGCGGAGAACGCGGTGCCGCTGCTCGACGAAAGCCCGATCTACAATGTGCTCTTTGCGTCTGGAAACGTTCTATTTTATAGCCAATAAACGTTTCAAAAATTTGTGCGAGTTGATAAACTGTATATTCCACATCGTACAATCGTGCATTATCGACAAATTTTTTAAGTCCAATCTACAATGTGTTTTTCGCAACGAGAAACATTGTGTTTTATGCAGACAAATCGATATGCTCAAAAAATTAGTGTATAATGTAATAATAGTATAATATTTAATAATATAATAGTATAATATATAATATAACTGTATAATATATAGGGGAACCCGGGGCATAACGGGAACGCTAAGGTTAAAATTAATTTTAAACAAAATGAAAATACATAAATGAATTATTTTTTTACGAAAATTTTCTTTGAAATGTCTACTATAAGAAAAAAAATGGTTTTACTGTGAAAGAATAGTTTAAAAGGACGAAATTTTTATTTTATTGAGATCATGACTTAATCTGATTATCATTTTATGCGGGGCATAATGGGACTCCTCACAAAACTGATATATTTCTTATATATTAATGTTTAAAATTTATTAAAAATGATTTTTTAAATACGCAATAAATATACTAATGTAGTATTGCATTTTAATAATAATAATTATTTATTGATAGCACTTATTATCACATCTACATGAAACATTTTCAGAACAGTAGGTGCAAATATGTGTAATATCCTCATTGTTGCTCATTGTTCCTTTCAATGTTGCTGTTAATTTTCAATTTTTTGTTGAGACATGCTCTGTTAACTTAACACTTACGAGTCAATTAATAAGGAGAGGTTACATATTGTACCATTATGCCCCACGGCCTAATGTCCCGTTATGCCCCCAATGTACCTTTACACTAAATAAATACAAAATATCATTGATAATCAATATCTGTGCAGAAATACTTTACTAAAGTGACTAGAAGAGATTGTTTAATAGTGTAAAATTACTTATGGTAATAAAAAATAGAATTTTATCATTGTTACCTCATGCTGATCTATCAACGAAATTATAAGCGAGTCACGGAGAGTGCAGCGAACGCATTAAAAAATTTATAGCATTTTTTAGTTAAAAATAACATGACAACTGATAACAGCATGCGATAAGGATCATCTAATAGCAATAATTGCAAAATATTTCAATACATAACAGCACTTCTGTAAAAAGTTATAGATCATATCCCATTATGCCCCGCCGTTCCGTTATGCCCCGGGTTCCCCTACAGTTTATCAGGACACATCCATTTTTTGAACGTGTTTATTGGCTATAAAATGTTTCTAGATGTAAAGAACATATTGTAGATCGGGCTTTAAAACCTAATCTACAATGTGCTATTTGCGTCTAGAAACGTTCTATTTTATAGTTAAAAAACGTTTAAAAAATTTGTGCGAGGTGATAAACTGTGTATTCTACATTGCACTATCGTGCAGTGTCGATAAATTTTTAAATCTAATTTACAATGTGTTTTTCGCAACGAGAAACATTCTATTTTATACAGACAAATCAATATGCTAAAAAAATTTGTCGACAATGCACGGATGTGCATTGTATAATATACAGTTTATTAGAACGCACCAATTTTTCGAACGTGGTTATTGGCTATAAAATAAAATGTTTCTAGACGTAAAGAACGCATTGCAGATCGGGCTTTAAAACCTAATCTACAACGTGCTCTTTGCGTTTAGAAATGTTTTATTTTATAGCCAATAAACGTTTAAAAAATTTGTGCGAGGTGACAAACTGTGTATTCTACATCGCAGAATCGGGCATTGTCGATAAATTTTTTAAGTTCAATCTACAATGTGTTTTTCGCAACGAAAAACGTTCTATTTTATACAGGCACATCGATATGCTAAAAAAAATGGTCGACAATGCACGAATTGTGCAATGTATAATATACAGTTAATAACTCGCATAAATTTTTTAAACGTGTTTAATGGCTATAAAATAAAATGTTTCTAGGCGCAAAGAACACATTGTAGATCGGGCTTTAAAACCTAATCTACACTGTGCTCTCTGTGTCTAGAAACATTCTGTTTGTAGTCGATAAATACGTTTATAAAATTTGTGCAAGTTGATAAATTGTTTATTATACATCGTATAATCGTGGAGTGACAAATTTTTTAAGCGTTTTGATTTGTTTATATAAAATATAATGTTTTTATATGCAGAAAGCATATATCAGGCTTAAGCGTATCGACTTGCCTGTATAAAATAGAATGTTTCTCGTCGCGAAAAACACATTGTAGATTAGACTGAAAGGATCGCTGCGGCCCGGGCGCGCAGCTTCCGCTGGTAGGTTGGAGAACGCGACACGATTCCGTTGAAGAAGACCACCTCTTGAAGTAGGCGCTTAAACGTCAACATCTTGGAGAGCCCAGTCACTCGCTCGCGAGTGGAGTGCGGCAGCCCGGCTCCGTCCTCTCGTGACGTCTCTCAGCTGCCTCTCCTTCTCCGAAAGAGAAGCGGCAAGAATTAATGCGCGGTGTAACGAGGAATTCATATCAACCGGAATATTTCCAGCTCGCGTTTCTATTAATTGCGCTCCCATTTCCGCTCCGTCGATCCGCGCCCGCGATGCGCGCGGAACGTATTCCGAAGTCGCTCCACCGCGCGCGGATTGCGCGCTCGCAGCGAGCGAGGATAATTTGGAGTATAATAGTGCGCTCGAGGGAGGCGGCCGATCGCAGTGTTTATTTAGAGAAGGGCGCGGGTATTTGTTTTTTTATTTTATTTCGTAAATTATGCCGGCGCGAAAATCATGGAAACCGTTCCACTGTGGATAATTTCGTCGCGGTTTTCACTCGAAGCAATATCGGTTATCGAAGTAATTTGTTACGAAATACATTTCACGCCGGCCGGCTATTGTGTTTTTTTTATGATGGTAAAAGTATTTTTTAATTTAGCAGACATTTTTTTATATTGATTTTGTGAAAATTTTATTGCGGAGAGAACAGGGTGTTAAATTGTATATACCCGAAACAAAATGGTCGATCGCAAGATATTTAGATATAATTTATCGCTCGCCACCAGGTATGTGCGGGACGTCGCGTCGATTTCTTTTGAAAGCGGTCCATTGTACCGAGGGATGCTCGCCGAGAACTTACGGTAAACTGTGCGGTTCGGGCGGGTTAGCTCGGAGCGAAGATGCGTACTCGAAAACTATTTAATAAGAATATTCGCGGTATTCGCGCGCTATCGTATCGCCTTTCAAAATATATTCGGTTACGCGATGTAATCAGGGGAGTTAGATTTAATAGAAAATATACGAGCGTAATTTGCAACAAACTACTTAAATTGCGCGTAACACGATCCGTTACGTTCGGTACCGTATTGCACGTAATATCCCGCATAGCGTAGCGCACCGCGGCACTTGTACCGAAGCAAGACACAGCAATGCGGACTATGTGTGAAACAATATCTAATCACGAGCAGCATTCGCGAGAGACCGGATTACTTGATTCCGAAGTATAATATATTGCTCTCTGTGTAACGCGCGGCAAAATATTCTCGTACCTACGTAACCTGGTACAATGCACGTGGGTTTATCACGGGCAATATTCGGCGCGACGTAACTTATCGCTATCTGTGTACAGCGCGAGATGGCTTATTGAAGATTGCGGGACTGCTATCGGCTCTGCGGGGCGTACCGGCAATTAGTTACTTAATCGCGGAGGCGCATTTGGAGCAGCGTATCGCGACGATAATCGATAGGCAAGAATAGAGGAAACGAACGCAGGGTGACGGGCGCGACGGGTGAGGGGTGGCCGGGCGAAATCACGGAGCGGAGGGAAGCTGGGGAAAATTGAAGAGGTCGCATCGTTGATGAGTGCGCTGAACCAGGGCTCTCGAGAGATCCAGGGGAGGTCCTACTCTAATTTCAGCGAGACGCTCCTTCGCGCGCGCACGCCTCCCTCCCGGTTTTCGCGGACTTCGTTTTGGAGAGGCTGTGTGTTGAAAGCGAGACCGTGTGTCACGCGAGCACGGGGAGAGAGGCGCGAGAAAGAGACGAATCA